ACTAGTCCGATATTCTGATTAGGATGCTTTCTTCCTCACCAGAAGTGCAAATAGAGCGGTGGAGTATTTCTATTATCAGGTTCATCAAGTCATAGCCTTCTTTGCTCCAAAAGACAAACAGATCATTCATGTGTAAGAAGACGTAGCCGAACGCCCAATCAGTTAGAAATCCAGAAAACTGATCGCGCGTTACAAAAAGATAGGAGATTTTACAATGATCCTATACATGCAACGAGTCATCGCTGAAGTGAAGCGCTCCAAGTTGATACAAAGTACACATGAAGATCAAAAGCCCTAACAATTACATGCCAAGCAAAAGAACTCGTCAAAATTCTTCGTCGCATAAATAACAACCGCCCCCCCCCCTTGAGCAATGAACTGGTCGACGAGAACGGCTATCCACTTTATGACCCAGTCAGCATCTGTGAAGCTCGCTTTCCGTCACCTTTATGAACTTGGAGACTGACCCAATAGATGCGCGCATGGATGTAAAAAGGACTAACGGGGTATGCAGAAGTGATATCTATCTTCGCAATATGTAACAGTCAATGGATTCCATTAAACCCCCTTCTGGATGTCAATGGTATCCTCCATTCACCATGAAAGCGAGAGAGCCTGACAGGTCATAACTTCTTTTGAATAAGTTCACCATTTCACTGGGATCGAGCTACTTACCAGATCAGAGAAAAATTTGTTTGTCATGCTGCGCCAAAGGGCGGTACAAAACAGAAAATCGGCAACTACGCACCGAATTAGCACACTCCTATACTCGCCAGATTGGTGGACACCATTCTGAGATCGAGTTCACCATGGAAGCGAAAGATCAGGAAAGTTCCACTTCTTGGATGTAGTTTTGGAGGGAAGATCCGGTGGGTCGCTCTTAAGATCAAGTTACTACACACCGAGATGAGCGGGGCAACCCAGGGCAACAGCTAATGCCGTATGAACTATAAACGCTACTTGATTCATGCATCGTTAGTGAGACCACGCCGGATCTGTAGAGAAGAAACGATGGAGAAAACCACAGACTGTCGCGTCTACCCTATGTGAAAATGGTCACCCTGGCAAGAAACTTGCCAGGCATGGAGAGAAAATCGTGCCACAAGAAGAGGACTGAAGTTTCAAAAATGAAAGTATTCATCAAGATGCCTTATGCAGGAGAGCAAAATGATGGACGTTTCTGACATCGCTTACGTCATGCAACAAAGTACTATTATGCAGCTGAGGTTGTGTTGCTCCAATGAAACAAAAAGATGCTAGACGAAGCCAATTAAGACAGTCGTCACTGTACTTGTGGCAGCATGCATATCTACCAGACAGACAGGTTGTCTAGCAGGATTTTGGAAAGCTTTCCTTGAAATCTATCACTCAGTGGTACAACATTACCTGCTAGCTCTGTTGCACGGCACTTATTTGACCCTCGATGGGTCGAAACCCCAGAGATATTCAAGGTCATCAATAAACAGATCAATCCCAAGTTGCTGCGTTTTGCAGACGATTCTGTAATGCGGAACTTGAAGCCTAAGCTACGCAAACAAGTTGCGTTCGTAACCAACCTTGCTCTGCCTTGGTAGGGCGCGACAGCACAACTAACCGACAGGTTCTGATATTGACCTGACATTCCCAACCGTTTGACAAATCTTCACCCATCGTATGTAAGCGGCTGATGAGAATATGCGAAATATACTGTATTCAGATAATTCAGCTGAAATGTTGGTTGCTCCTGTGCTATTGAGATTATTCGGAAAATCGGTTAGGAAGAGCGTGACGAATTTCATCAACTCGCTAGGGTTGATAGATAAACCCCAGCATTGTTTCTTTGACAAGCAATCATGCACAACCTGCTATGTTATTTAAACCACATAGCAGACTTCATTGATTCTGGATAAGCAATCATAATTCCAATCCTAGACATGCGCACGGCATTTGATCGGGCGCGACACAAATGGTTACTGATAAATATAGATTTGGTTGAAGTCCAAGATCCACTACTAGTTTGGTTATCTTCATAGTTGAATGGTTCTCCTCAGATAAGCGACTAGGTGACCATCATTCTCCTTCGAGTCCAATCACCAGCATGGTCATTCAAGGAAGTGTGTTCGATCAATTACTCTTTCTGCTTTATATCAACGACATGTATATGCCAGTAAATATGGCATGCCATACTCATTTACCGACGGTATAAAGATTGTCTGTAAGTTACGACGAGCTGATCTTCCGTACATAGTGCTGCTCATTCAGGATGACCTACATTCCTTCGAGCCATGGTGTGAAAAATGGATGACGAATTTCTCATTAAAAGATTAAGTATCATGCGTCGCGGTTGTCTGCTACACGAAGGGCCTATCGTACACAATAACGAATGCCTATGTGTACCACTGTGTACATGAGAATTAGGAATCAGATATTCCTGTACCTTCACCATCTCTGAACAGGTTGAGTACCTATAAGGATCGTTTACCAAACGCATATTAGTCAATACTTCTATCAAGAGCTATCGGGAGCGGTGCCAACAACTGCATTGATACCGCTGTACAATCTGATGCATGATAGAGCATATTGCAACCCGCCCACATTAAAAGTGCAGCAGAATTTCACCTAGAAGCAACGTAATAAAGCCTTTGCTCTGGCGATACAAAGATGCATGATAAATAAGCGGTCCAACTCCTTTCTAACCAGGTATACTGCATTGTAGCATCGGCTCCCAATCACATGTAGGTCGTGTGAAAGTGCGCATTCATTTTGTACTAAGCTGGGAAGCAACCTGGAAGCGATTGAATTTGTTTTCGTGGGGAGACCAAGTGACGACCCATTTAATGGAGGAGCAGATAATATCTAATATGTGAAATGGGGGAAATTAGCGCAACGTAAGCAGCTCTCTGTGTCCGCAAGATTTTCAAAGGGCAATAATATCCTCCGCTTTAAAGTAGAACACAAACATGTGAGACATATACATTGCCAGAAACACGGACAAAGATTGCGTATACCAATACGAGAGCATGATATTGCCTGTACATATACGATCTGTGACAAATGTACGCAGCTTCTCATCTGATGAGAAACATGCATATTAGTATAGGTCACCCTTTACAAAAAGGATGTGCGGTGTTAGTGACCCAATGTGTCAATCAGTCAGCGACTACCTTATTAGAAGAAAAGGGAGAGTATAGGGAAGTGATAATCTGGTCTGCTAGTATCTACTAGTGATGTAGTCCAAGGTAGTGTTGGGCCCAAATAAATATCTCAACTCCTCCGGTAGCCCTATACCTTGTTTTCGAACGACCTGAGGAGTTGAAGGAAAATGTTTCATACGTTTGCGACGTACTTCAGTATGACATCATCCACCTCTCCATGTGGTCTGAAAAAGTGGGTCTCCTGATCAACTCAATCAAGCTGTTGCTTTTGAGCATGGGTAGGGGTTGTGGAATCTACGCTATAGCCGATCGATCGTTCCTCCCACTACTTCCATCCAAAACCTAGGCGCATGCTCAGGCTGCGACTTGAGGTCTGTGAAAAACACAACCAGACTGCCATTCTAGAGTATGCCTCATTCGCCTATTGTCCGATCACTAGTGGCGAGGTGCAAAGAAGGGCACAGTTACGTCGCTCATCCCCAACTTACAGGGTATGCATAAGATTAGATATCGAATAAACCTTATAATGACCCATTGGACAGTGTTTCAGAGTGACTTCCGCATCCTAAGGTCACTGCTTCACATGCGCGCATCAAGTAGCACACACTTGGACACGAGTACAAGCTTGTAGTATCTGAATCCCATAGCTAATGCCTAGAGCGTCGAGTAGTAAATCTTGGAACACTGCCAGAAAACGGACTGGGCAATACCGGTGCCAATATACAAGAAATTCCTAAACACCAACTTTGCGAAGTACAGATTTGAGAAATGTCCCGAAGGTTAATAGGATAATGCGCATTTGTAACATGTTAAAACGTGTGCGAGTACGTGATCAGATTTCGATGGAGTCACACAGGTTCCCATTGACTAGCTCCATAGTATCAAATATTCGCTCTAAATGAAACGTTTTATGCCCATAACGCTTATGCTCAACCCATTCATTTCATTTTGACCGGGAGTATTGCTCTCGATAAAACGGACACCACACGGAACTGAGGTCGACACAGCCGACGAAGTAAACTCTACATGCATACAGTAGTGTGCGACTGAAAAGTAGAGATAACATTAAGTAAGTGCCGCACATCAGGAATGGTGCACAGACCGCTGCGCGACAACGACGACCATGGGTGACTTGTCACCAAATCGTGATATGCGAGGCGGCAAGGGCAAGCAGACGAGTGGGAACGCCGCGCATCCACTAAGTTGAAGTGCATGCGTGGTAGGTGAGCAGTCCAATTAGTTCGGTCAGTAGAGATGTCAATATGGTACAAGACCAACCAGATCATTGCATCACAGCACAAGCAAAGACCGAAGCGGGAAGAATGTAGGCACATGAGGTCTATCATGAATCCACATGATATGGCCTGAGTGCTGCACAGATAAAAATAGAATGCTTTGCATGAGGCTGTAGCTCAAGTAGAGGCTAGATGGGCGAGAGAATAGAAGAGGATGCCTTTGCACAGAACATGCACTAGAGGATTGGGCTGAGTAAGGTTAGGAAATTTAGCAAGCTGACTATGCTAGTCATTGCCGGGGCCAGGTCAAATAGTTGAGACAGTTATGGACCTGTGATGATCTACTAACCGCCAGGCATATGCAGCAACCAAACAGTTTGTATTCCCTAATTTGGCTGAATTGAAATGGTGGGTTCACAAAAGTTCGAGTAGACACAGCAGGTAACGTCACTTGTTTGTGAATGAGTAGTGTTGAGGTGTATTCACTAAAAAACGGTCACCACACGTGATACGATGTCTCAAAGAGACAAGAGGAAGCAAAATGTTAGCAAACGCGCAACAAATGAATCTAAAAAGGACAGGAATCCAGTGAATGGGAACGAAAAGGGAACCCGAATTCATCGAGACTCACATGAGGCACCACCATTCTTGCCGAAAAAATCAAAGATTCTTGGTATCTGAGAGGGGAAAGAGAACAAAGAGATCACACATTGACTCGACGAGCAAAGAGGGAGACCGTGGGCTTAGACGTGGAACTGCCTTGATGATGATGGAAACAGTGAGGTAGTCAATGAATGGCACACGAACAGGTTAACACGACAGCGGTGAGAAACGGCAATTGCGACATGCAACGTAGTGAACACCAATTGACACATTCATCAGTGCAAGTACAGGTCACGTATTGCGTGGGGAGCGTGACATTATGTTACTGGTAGAGAAGCTACGATGTTTGAGTAGCGTAGCATTGATATGCAAAGAAAAGGTAATCGCCCAAACACTATAAATACCGTAACAGGACGCTAACGATCGATGTACACAGTATATTGTTAGCGAGTGCAGCATGGCTATGGCAGAATAGGATTTTAAAGCCAATTGCAAAAGATAGGTGCGAAACAGGAAAAATAAGGCAACCCTAGAATTGATAGTAAATCTTTAACGGAAGTCAAAGACAAACTCGCAATTTGGGTGGTGCGTTGATGGTTGGAAGTGATTTAATATGTCTGGGGAATTTCGCGATACAAGGCCGAGTGAAGACAAGTAATGAATATATTACAAAGGGGTAATAGGGCGATTTGAATGGTATAAGTAGAAATTCGTCACATCTAGACCCAATCAGGCAGCCAGTATATGCTCTGGAAAGCACTGTACGGCCGTTTCGTCCTATCGGCAACGGTAAACAGTGCGCTACTGACGATTTCCGGGTGAATTTGTACCTAAGGAAAACATATCAACAGATGAAGGTTGTGAGGTGAAAGTCTGCCCGTGTGACCTATTTATGGACTAGATCTCCCTTTCATGTTACGTAACTCAGAGTCGCCGTTGTCTATACGCCGTGGCTGAGATGATCCTAAGAAAAGCAACTAAACGCTACGATGACAATAGGGGACTGACTATTTGTACATGGACCCCTTGAAGCAACTGATAAATCACGTAATCTTATCGCAGGTACAGTGACCTATACAGCTATCGCTATCCGTGAAATTCCCGTCCTATTGGGAATAATCAGTGGCGGATTCCCAACGAATTGGTTCGGATTCGTACCGTAGCTACACGGTAGCAAGGTGCATAGTAAGCGAGGATGAGACGTGCTACTTCGCCAGTAACGAGTTTGTCCTGTATATTGCTATAATGGTCTAACGCCCGATGACACAAGCCATCGCTTACCAATTGAACGGTCATAGATCTGAACCTGGGGTTTCGAGTTCCAGTTGAAAAGAACGGTCGCCCAGAAATTTTTTTGAACGTATGACGGGGATGTGAGTCTCGTTAGAACGAAAGTAGGGGCAAATTTTAGAATCCCCTAAAACTCAACTGATTAACCAACCTAGGGATGCAAAGAAAGCATATCTACGAGTTGACACAGTGGGCAGGCGTGGTCATGCGTGCATGCGCCTAGATACTTTTTGACAAAAAATAGATTAAACGGTCCAAAACACCAGCGAGTCAGCGAAGCAAGGGGGTGACTCAAAGAGTTTCATATGAAAGCAACAAAATGCCAAGTCGTGCTGTTGGCTTTAGATGGGAAACAACTTGGAGATTTTAGGAAAGGGTAAATAGATAAAAGACGAATGGGTAACAGTCTCGGATGTAAGATGGATGGTGAATGTGGTGTGTGTTGGTCTCATTACGCAGGGATGACGAGCAAGAGATGAACAAGCGGAGTAACAGTGAGTGGGTTTGATGGGGCATAGCATAGTGTAGCTCACTGCTAAAGCACAAGGGTTTACGACGGATGCGGGCTACGCGTACGAGGTTAAGAGCCGAACCACGGAACGGAGTAAAGTGAACAATGAGAAGAACTGTGAGGAGCTATGCATTCAGCAGAAGTTTCAAAGTTGCGCAGAAAGTTTTGATCGCAATGCACACACACACCACATACACCGTAATCTGTTGCGGGACAAATAAGGTACCATGTAGTGCAAGAGCACGTGACTTCAATGAGTCAACTGTTTCATTTTTATTTTACTAGCGTCTCGATGGCAATTGCATAATAGCAAGCAAACGACAGTTAGAAAATTATCAGTGAGTGTAACTGCACATGAGAACTGGGTGAGAAGTGAGGTGGCAAGTGTGTGTGCGCCCACGAGGAGTGGGTGGGGGGAAGGAGGGCGTATAATACATACACAGTACAGGATTCGATAAGTGACGGACAGCTACATTTATTAAGAAGACGCAAGTGCTAATCAGTTGTTGCCTGTGGGACCAAAACTTCGGTTAACAAGGGACAGAGGCAAAACGAAACGGGAAAACTGCTAACAACCGAACGCAGACAAGTTCAGTGGACCTGTGTGCAGAAATAAGTCACACGGCGCCGACATGTGGATGCTACCCAAGAACCACCGCGTTGAGTCCGACACCATCGTTACTGGCATCAAAAACTCAAGGATTATCAGATGGATGCTACACACCAACAGATGAGTGCAGAGCCTCGGTTGATAAAAACCAAAGATGGATTTGACGGTAGGGAAGTAGTCAGAATCAGGAGATCAGTGCTGACTGCAGTGAGATACTGGTTGAAGTGCAGATGTGCACTGCTCAAACAAGTTAGCATTTGATGTGGGGTAATGCAAAGTACGGTAAACAAAAGGAGGGTAATAAAGTAGAGTAAAGAACATTCTCAAGTGTTAGTCGTATGGATCCCATGAAGCTAAATGAATCAGATTTAGTTGCGGATGCTATAACTGCTTATGGTGGGGATACCTGCACTGTATGCGCGCTAAAATAACAGCGAAATAGTACACGGACTAGGAAGCAAACTGCCAAGTTGCAAAAGGATTCGGATTAGGAACCGGAAAACGACAGAGGGCCGTGATCACGTTTCGAACCTCCGCCTCCGATGGAGCATCTAGACTAGCCAGCCATGGCTCAGCTTGCATAACCTGAGTAGGAAGAGCAAGGGGTCAGCAGAAATGCTCAAGAAAGTGCTATGTCCAACGAACCAGCGGATGCTCCTTACTGTGAATTAGGGCGCTTGTGCTGAGGCCTGCGGCCAGTGGTGCAGATCAGTTGGAAGAGCTTAGATAATCATACGCTGCCCTCGTCTCCTCCATTTCTTTGGACCTACTAGTCCACCAAGTTTCCTTGTCAACACGCAGGCTCCGCTTCAATTCGTACCTAATAGTCCGTCTGTGCACATTACACTCAGAGCCAACGGAATGTTCTTTTCGGAATTCCAGCAAGCTCACAGACCTCTCGGATATCCGGTAACTGGTGCATTTACGATTGATAGTGCCGCAAGCCGAGGCTCCCGGCATCGTGTAATGCGGAAGGTGTCATTGTAGATGGAGGGTGAAAGTTCGGTACGTTGGGCCTTTTTGTAGACTTGTCTAACCGATGGCTCGGATAACTTCTTAGTTACCAATCGAGAGGCGCTTTGTATACCCCAGGTAAAGTTTATGAAAAAACAGCAGCATACTAAAGTATGATCAGAGTCGACACAGGTACTCCGGAACGAGTGACAGTCCTGAGTGAAACGGGGCCACCTATAACCTGTGGCAATGTGATTCATTTGGGTACACCGTTGGCCAACTCTGGAGGGTTGCCAAGTGGCACTACGGTGCCCACGGTGTCTATAAGTGGTACTACCAAGAAACAGCCAGTGCTCCGTGCACAGTTACAACAGACGCTCGCCGTTGTCCGTCCGTTCAGAGTTAAATCCATACTTATCACCTAGCTCAGCTGATTGTGGGTGACATTTGAGTAAGCGGTATATAGGACGGAACGCATCGCGCGCTTTGAAATGGTGATTCGAATCGACCAAATGGGCAGAAACTACGTTTGCCACTGCTCTGGTCTGCCCGCTAGACAGTCAAGCTGGGAATGCTCCAGGGCTCTCACGGACAGCTTTCTGGTAGTCCTTGTGACATATCTTGATCAAGACGAACAAGAGAAGGAGTATACACAGTAAGAGTGCTTGACCTTGTGATGCAGAATTTGTACTGGACTGAACCTCAGCCTTAAACTCGCCGCGAAGTAAGTTGGACCAATGGCGTCCGAAAGCTTTCTAGATGCGGATTCCGCCATCCCGACCGTTATAAACGATAGCGAAAAGTAGACCGGTTTCTTTCCCACTGACACTAATTTTGCCTTCGTCAAGTGTTAGAGCAGGCATACTAACAGACGAACGACTATGGTTGTTTTCCTCGACCCGAAAGCCACGTTCGACTCTGTTGGTCGTGCTACTTTGTGACACTGATTTACCGTAATAGGCACATCCAGAAAACTCCTTTCTAATCTGAAATGTCTCTACAGTGACTCCATAGACCGGACAAAGATATATGGGAAGCTGTCTCCTGAGTTCCTCACCACAAGTGGGTTCGCCAGGGTTGTCCAATATTTCTGTATCATCCAAATTTATGATCATAGTTATCATAAATGACTGCGATCTCTTAGGATCTTCCGGAATGAAAGTCCTGCCAGGGGACTCACTGACAAACTTCGAGTATGCGGGCAACATAGGTTCCCTTGGGTCTGACGCAATGGCTATGCAAGTACTACGTGATAGACTGGCGCATAGAGCTGCATGCTTCGGCAGATGCCCAGTATCTTCAAACTGCAAGATGTTGCGGCAGGACCGGACCGATTCGTCGTCTGTTCTAGCTATCAGCGAACAGCCAATGAAAGTGGGGGATCGGTTCACTTAAGTTGGTAACTAGGTCACCTCTGGTAGTCACATCACTGAGGAAGAGACTACTTCACATGTCAGGAAGCCCCTTGTGGCATTCTGGAGCATCAGCCATCCATGGAGATGGAAAGTATCAACGGAGCAGAAAAAGGCATGGTTTATGACGCAACGAAAAGGTGGGTGTTACTGTACGGGTCAGCTATCTAGCCAGTTTGACATGCCTGATTACCGGTGTTTGCAGTGTGTTGCTCACATATGGTGGAAACACCGGGCGAGTAGTGCTGAGATCCGCCAGTTGGTTTTTAGCAAGAAACCTTCCGGTGCCTCATTGGA